GAAGATCATCGTGTATCATGGTGGGGGGCTGACAATAGCATGTGAGTTGGTGGGTCCCATTGCACCCTCAGGCAGGCAGCAGGGAGATGAATACATGTGCTCATGCAGCTTCTCCTTCATACCTTTTTACTCAGTCTGGGACCGCAACCCACAGGGTGCAGCCACCCACGTTCAGGGTAGGTTTTCCCTCCTCACTCAAAGCTCTCTGGAAATATTCTCACAGACACGTTCAGAAGTGTGTCTCTTAGGCGATTCTAAACATGGTCAAGATGACAATGAAGGTGACCCATCGCAGTAATGAATAGCATATGTGCTATATTTTCATGTCTATTATTTATTATAAAGTTAATTATAAATTTAATTTATGAATACATTAAGACTAACAATAAATAATAAAAAAAACAGATCAATTATATGAATGTATGTTAAATAAGCATGGTCTCTTTCAAAATATTTTATTTCATTGTATAACAATCTTTCTTTTTTTTTTTTTTCTGAATCTAATTGAGTACTGAAGTGTGGGACACACTTCATGATTTCTCTTCGACCTGCAGCATCACTACTCTGCACTTGAAGCTGTCATTAAGTACCAGGGTGACTTACTGTTAGTGTCAGCACTCAGTACCATAGTTATTGATCTAGTAAACCAACAGATACCAAGTGAGTTATGTGTGAGTAGCAGATACAGCGTGGACTCTCTAGACAGTAAGACGATTCATGTTCCTGGCAGGACTCAGAAGGGTCTACAATTTGAAAATTATGAATTTTTATTTCTGGCTGGAAATTCCATTTAATATTTCAAAACTGTAGATGACTTCAGGTAACTGAAGCCACAAGGGAAAAAAAGCTGGGAGTTTTGGGGTACTATATTCAAGAGTTGCATTGACAGTAGCAGTAGTTACTCATGGATGGCCACATGGCCAGACCTAGCTGCAAAAGAAGCTGGAAAATCAACTCATTAGTCTTTTCAGAGAAACAAATAATCAAACATTAGCAATTAAAGGTTCTGCAGGACATGATGTCACATACAAGTAATCATAACTCTGGAGGCTGAGGCAGGAAGACCTCAAGTCTGAGACCAACTTTGGTCAAAGAGTGAAACTATGCCTTGTATTATTAAGGCTCTATTGCTAAGGAGGAAGAGAGAAGATGGCTCTGGCCATCTATCACACCTCACTTTATCCTCCTTCCTGTTGTACCCACACATGGTGCCTGGTGCCTTGTTGTATTACCAGTTCTCAAGGAGGGCACTGCTTTCTAACCAGGAAGTTCCAAGTATCTTGCAGTAAATATCAACATTCTGGTTTCAGGAACTTGCCCAGGCGGGTGACTTGCTTATCAGCTTCCTGCTTTATTTATTTATTTATTTATTTACTTATTTATTTTTATTTTCAGTTTTTTCAAGACATGGTTTCTCTGTATAGCTTTGGAGGCTGTCCTGGAACTGGCTTTTGTAGACCCGGCTGGTCTCGAACTCACAGAGTAAGTGCTGGGATTAAAGACATGTGCCACCACGGCCTATCACTGCTTGGTCTTCTTGATGTGTTTGTGTACATATATACATATACATACAGACAGACAGATACACACACACACCCACTCACACACACATATACACATATACATATTTTCCTCCTTGAGTCAAGGGCTCATATGTAGCTCAGGCTGTCCCCTCACACTCACTATACAACCAAGAACAACTTGATCCTCTTGACTCAGCTTCCCAACTGCATGGATTCTAGGCATGCTTTACCTCTCTTGGCTGCTTGTCATGTTTTGGAAGCAAAGTCTTCCTGCCCTTGCCCAGGCTTCATCCTCCTCAAACATCTCCCACCGAATTAAAATCATTATCTAAAACTGAGTATGCCCTTTGGAGCCAGCTAGTAGCTAAGCACTGGTTGTCTCCATCTCAAGCTCTAGCTTTTCTTGTTGTTTGCTTTGCTTTGACATGGCGTCTCATGATATACTTATGCTCCCAGTCTGGCCTGGAACTTGTGATCCTCCTGCTTCAGCCTCCTGAGTGCTGGATTCTCAAGCATACACTCAAGTCAATGCAGCTCCAGAACACCCCCGTGACCCCCCACCTCAGTTCTTTCTGTCATAAGGGCAGATGTGAATAAGACACAGATTCGAGTATCAGGTGCCATGGCAAGGTGGTGGCACTAAGTGCCAGATTGTGTTTACCTGGGTGAACCTGAGCCATGCTACTCTTGCCTTGGAGAAGGAACTCTGCTTCTCTACCACAGATGTCTGATGCCCAGCATTTCAGTTCCATTCTCCCTGATGGTCCACCGCATGGATTTCAGATACACCAACCAGCCTTCACCGCATTCTGTCATTCCTTATGGTGAATGACTTAGTCTCTCTCTTCCTGGTTCTGTTTCTCCAGTAGCACCCTAACACAAAGGAGTAGTGCTGTCATGAAATACAGCTGCCTAAAATTCAGCTCCTTAAAGTGTGGCATAACTAAATTGGGGATCAAGAAAAATTTAATAATAGTAAAAAGCTTTTGAATATGCAAAGACCAAAAATCAATTCAAAATCAAGTGTAAGGAATCCCAAAGTGTTTCTGGCAGCCCCTGTTATAACAAGGTCTGCACCGCAGCCTCCTTTCTGAACACACAGCATGTGTGTTTTGTACTGTGTTAGCTGTACATAATCTGCAATGCCTGTGACCACTGCCTGGACCACCTCAACTCAGATTTGAGACCACTGTATGATGTGAACTGCAGTGTTGTGTTTTTGTTTTTGCTTTTAAAACTGAACATACAGTTTTCACTCTTACAGAAATAAGGATTTGATTATGGAAAACAGAGTATTTTACTGTTTTCACCATTGAAATGTTAAGTGGATTTGTTGTGTTAGGTTATTTGATTTAAAAAACAGCTGTTTGACATAGGAAAAAAATCATTAAGTAAAATTTGGCTTGGGGGACTCATAGCACTTGCAGAGGTCTAGAGTTAGGTTCCCAACACCTTCATGGTACAGTTCACAACCACCTGCAACTCTAGCTCCAGGGGATATGGTGCTTTTTTCTGGCTTCTGCTCACAGCCCTGCATATGTGGTATACATTCATACAGACACAGTCACAGACACACTCAAAATGAACATGAATTCTTAAAAAATTGGGAGATTTTACTTTAGCTGGATAGTGGTAGTGCACACCTTTAATTCCATCACTTGGGAGGCAGAGGCAGGCAGATCTCGTGAGTTCAAGGACAGCCTGGCCTATAAAGTGAGTTCCAGGACAGCTAGAGCTACACAGAGACCCTGTCTCAAAAACAAAAACAGAAAACATTGGGAGATTTTATTTTCCTATTTTATACACATGAGTGTGTGTTTGTGTGTGGAGGGTATGTGCGCTTGCACACTTGTGTGCATACAGTGCCTGAGGAGGCCAGAACATGGTGTCAGATCCCCAGGAACTGGAGTTACAGATGGTGGTGAGCTGGGAATTGAACCGGAGCCCTCTGGAAGAGCAACCTGTGCTCTTAATGGCTGAGCCATCTCTCCAGCCCCCAACATAAATCTTTAAAAACAATTTTGGCTTGGGATTGGGACAGAGTTCCAAAAAAAATGGTTCGAAGTATAGTTCTGCTACTTATCACCATATATTTATGATGCAAAATGGTGTTCTCAGCATTGATTATAAAATGAAAATATCAATCAACTCTGGAAAATCATGAAGATGCTGTGTCCTGTAGTATCAAATATTTAGCTACAACTTAAGCATGGAAACACTTTCTTCTTTGATAAATAGTAAATTACATGTATTCAAAAGGATTGTTTTAAAATGAGTTTCTTTATTACTCACCATGAGTAAATATTTGATTTGTGTACTGGCTTTATATACCTATACACCCAGGTTTACACAAGATCTTCTCTGGTGAAAACTGGTCATTAGTGGCAAAAAAAAAAAAAAAAAAAAAAAAAACCTGAAGGCAGCCAGCAGTGGTCAAGCCTGGACTCCCTCATCCCCCACAGGTAAAGGTAGAAGGTGCAGTTTGTGTAAATCACTGAGGATATTTTTATTCCTAAAAGTTAGAAGCCAGTCTGGGATACATGGCAAGTTCAGAGTCAGTCAGGAGTGAGACCATATTTCAGAAAAATTCCGGGGTTGCGGGGGGGCCGGGGGGGGGGCGGTTTGCACTATTTAGCTAGGTTTGGTGCCACAGACCTGAGCTCCCAGCACTCAGGAGTGGAGGCTGGAGGAACAGGACTTGGAGGCCAGCCTAGGTTACTTGAGACTCTGGCTCCAATACATCAACAAAATAGTTCCAACACCCTATTGGTATCCTCTCTTCTTTTTTGTTACATTTAAAAACATTTTTACACGTATGTAAATATGTCTGGAGGAGTATGACAAGTGCCATATATCACCTGTGGAGATCAGGACTTGAGGAAATTCTCCTACTGTGTGTGTTGTGGGGATGGATGAAACTCTGTCCTTCAAGCTTGGAAGCAGGGGTCCTGCAGCTCCCTCCATTTCCTAAAAGGAAGCCTTACCCAAGACCCAGGCCACATCACAGGAAAGAATGGAATGGAGTTTGGGCCAATGCAGTGTAGGTGCCCCTGAAGCTAAGACTAAGAAACCATTTGACAAAACATGGGACTTAAAGGAAAGTTTGCTATTGCATGCCTCACTGAGTTCGAGACTTTGTAGCTGCAGCCTCCCCACCTCCACCTCTCTGCAAACACATCATGAACACGGAGTAGCTAAGGTTAGTGACCCTCCATCTGTGGCAGTGCTAGGGTCATGAGAGTTCAAGGAACTGCCCCTCACAGCACCCGGAGCAGTGTGCTCAGGATGCACTTATGCCGAGAGGTCGCCAAACTTAGCATTCATCCAAGTGGGTACCGGCAGGTGGGCGCGGAAGGCTGCAGCCAGGAAGGAGGCGGAGCGCAGGTGGGGCGGGCCGGGGGCGGGGCGAGTGAGGTTCCGGGATCCGGGTCCGGCCTCGGCCGAGGCCGCGGGACTCAGCGGGCGCTGCTGGCGGGTGCATGTTGGGGCGTGCGGTCCGGAGGCGCTGCCCGAGGGGGCTGCGGCGCGGCCGGGAGGCGCTGCTGGCGTTGCTGGCGCTGGCTGGGCTGGGTGCGGTGCTGCGGGCTCGAAGCGGTTCTGGGACGGTGGAGACCCAGGCCACGGTGCACCCAGTGCCCCCGCGCACTCCTCGCCAGGGGCGTCGCGAGCCAGTGTTGACCAGGCCGCCACTGGCCGCCAATGCGCTGGGCGCGCAGGGGGAGGCGGTGCGGCTGCAGCTGCAGGGCGAGGAGCTGCGTCTGCAGGAGGAGAGCGTGAAACTGCACCAAATCAACATCTACCTGAGCGACCGCATCTCACTGCACCGACGCCTCCCGGAGCGCTGGAACCCTCTGTGAGTGGTTGCGGAACACGGGCGCGTGGGATGCTGCATCCTCCTCGGGAGGAGGCGGTACCGGAGGGGCTATCCAGGGGGCGGGGAGGCGGGAAAGTTTAAAAAAAAAATCAAAACGAACCCAAGAACGTCTCAGAAATTGAAGAGCTGGTAACTGGGTGGTCTCTTGAATCCGACGCCTCAAAATTGTCATTCCGTCCCGAAAGGTTGAGATTCGAGTTAAGCAGACAGGCGGAGAGACCCCCTAGTCCGCGCCTGTGGTGCTGTTAGGACTGTGCAGGTGTGGCTGTGACTCGAGAGCGAGGGCGACTAGCACAGGGCTGGCTCCATTCATTGGTGTGGGTGTGCTGCAGCCCGGGGACAGAGCCGAATCATCGAGATACCTATCCAATGGCTGTCTGTGTCCGAGGCGGAGCCGCCTTCCTCTCTCTGGCTGTTTAATTTCTGGTTTGGGGTGAAGGACGGTGGGAAGGAGAGGTTGGTGGAAAGGGCGCCTTTGGCTGCAGTCCAGCCCAGCTCACTCTTGTAGGTGGTGTAGGGCTGAGCCTGTGTAGTTGGAGCCGGAGCCTAGTTCCTGTTGGAGCTGCTGGCTTTTCAGCAGGTGAGGTATAAGGAAATAAACAGGCACAACAGCTGCTGTCGCCTTTCATCCTGGCCCGCCAGTCTCCTGTGTCTTCGAATTCATTAGAGAATTTCCAGCCCCACTTAAGCTCTGCAGACTGACTCAGAAAGGGCTCCTGGTTAGAGCCAGAGGCCAGGCCCGCTGTTACCATTAGGCACCTGACTCCTACTCCCCAGGCCATGCTGGCTTTTTTCGGTTTGGAAATGGACTCCGAGGGCATAGGTAACACTAAACTGCAAAATGGTAAACTTGGCCTTCTGTGATTGTAACCTGCCTAGCAGCTGCTCTGATCCCTCTCCCCCATCTCAGGGAAAGTTTAACTATAGACTTGACTTCACATCGTACCTGGATTTGTTCATGCCTACTGCTATGCTTCGGCCCCAGGCTTTTCCTTTTCCACTATTAAGTGTTCCAAGTAAAATTTCCTGGGATTGGCAGCAGTTCTCCACTCCTCAAGCCCCTTGAAACCCCAGAGTCGTTTTACCAGGTCTAGGGAGCGATTTCAGATTAGAATCAAGATAGACACCCAAGTCCTGGGAGATACAACCCCAGGTCTTTTGCTCACTAGTCCTGTGATCTCAGACAATGGCTTCAGGCTTTAGTTGACTTAGCCTCGGTGTCCTCATTTGCAAACTAGGAGCTGATGACAGTCTGCATACCCTCTACATAAGTGGGTAGGAAGAGTGCAACCTTATTCAACTCAAGCCTCATACTTTGTGCTTCTTGTATCCCTGTCCTCTGCTGCCCTGAGTATATGTAGGGGCTTCTCTTCCAGTCATCTGGGATTGGTCATAAAGTTTTTCTTGTGCAGATCCAATTTCCTCTATTGTTAGAAGTTGTGATTATCTCTTTGAAACACTTTAGATGACCTGTGGGGCTTATGGTATCCTGTTTCCATGGTGATGCAGCTGCTTTGTCTCCTGTGGGGATTTGAGAATAGATCCTGCTGTGCCATTGACCCTGGGAATTAATCCAACACAGCAGGATGGGCCTCACCTTGGACTTCTGTAACAGAGCCTGTGCCATTAATTTTGTGTGTCCACAAAATTGAGGCAGAGCTGGAGCTGTGCATGTCTCCACCAGGAGAGGCTTTGACTCACAGCTTCCATGTAGTCAGGAGTGTCTGTCAGGGCCTTGCGTAGAGTCTACATCTGCCAAATAATAGTCTGCTCCCCCTTATTCTCAGGGGAAGTTTCCAGAGCCCAGTAGCTCTCTCAATTTTGAAATGGTACCAAACCTTACGTATACTAAGCACTGTGACAGTCTATCTGGCAGCAACATCACTGCTAAGTGATGGTAATTTCTGGTAGTGTGTACATTGTGGGACAAAGGGATGGATGATTTATATCCTAGAAAGGCTAAGCTTTTACTGTGCTATTTGAGGAGGTATACAATCTTAAACTTGTTAATTACTTGTTTCCACTTTAATATTTTGGAATATGGTTGAGTAACCAAAGCTACGGAAAGCGAATCCACACATAAGAGGGGGCTGCTAGAGTTTCTACAGCAGTGCTGAGCTAATAAGGGTCTTGATATTTGGGTTGAGAATTCATATAGTATTATGACTTTACAGTGTAGGGTCCTCAGGAGTCCAGTCAATTTACAGAGGGTTACTCAAGGTCTCTGTCAAGGAGAGAGAGCCTGCAAAGGGACTTCCAGACAATCCAAAGGGAAAAGCCCAGGCCACTCACAAGGTCTGGGGTTTTCCTTTTTGGGTACTTGTTTCTTTGTATTATAAAAATGTTTGCTTCAAAATTTTTGCCATAGGAGAAGCAAAAACCTGAAACAAATGAAAAAGGTCAACAATAGAGCATTCAGCCAGGCAGGGTGGTGAGTGTCTGGTACGAGCCCAGCCAGGGCTACATAGCAGACTATCCAAGAGTTAAGGATAAAAAAAGAAATTAGCTTACAAACCTGGGAAAACTGTTATTAACATTTTGCTGTGTATCTGTCTAGACCTTTTCCAAGTATAGAACAGACTTTGGAAAATAGACACATAGATGTGTGGGTGAGAACACAGTGTGCACATAAGCTCACAGGTTTTTGCTGCCTTTGCATTGCCTTGCATATGCATGCTACAAGAGACGAAGCATCGGTCAGCCCAGGTACATCTGCTTTGGCTCTTGCTGGCAAAGGCACTAGGCCTTTTGCCTTTGGACAAGGCCAGATGGGTAAAGAGATTTTTGAAGCTGACTCTACTTCCTTGAGGTGTGGTAAAGGATCTCACACTTGCATGTGCAGCTTTGGTTTGTTAGTTCAGTGCTGACTTGAGGAGGAGGAGGAGGAGCAGGAGGAGGTACCTTTAGATAGCAGTGCAATACGTGCTGTCCCCCCCCCCCCCAGTCACTTCACCATTGCCTCTCATTTGCTGCTCATGAGGAGGGAGGGTTTTTCACTCCCGGATAGCAGGCCAAAGTGGGGAGCCATATAGCTGGCTTGGCAGCCCTGGGGAGCTCTTAGAAACTGTCAGTGCCAGGGACCTTCCCCAGAACAATGGCTGAAAGCTGCTGGCCTAGTCACTGTGCATTGCTAGCTCAGGAGTTATAGTGAGATGGAAGTAAGTAAGTAAGTAGTAATTAATAATAGGTACAGTTGAAACTAGCATGGATGTATGCCACAAGCCAAGAGTTGCTAATATTACACCAAAAAAAAAAAAAAAAAAAAAAAAAAAAAAAAAGCAGTGTTTGTTGAAAAGTCATGAGATGAGATGACTGCTGTAATGCCATTGTCACTCACATTCTGACCTAGTTATCAGGAGAGGAAGTGGAGTGATAGTCTTGCGGTGTCCCCAGACCTGGTTATGGTCTCATCTGGCCACTGTCGGCAGAAGAGCAGGACTGCTGTAGCTACATGTGTCTCTCGTTCAGGAATCAGGCTTGGCATGCCAGAGAAATCTCAGGGTAATCACATTATCCGAAGGACCAAGAGTGCCCTGCTACAGTGGGCAGGAGGAAGGTGATAGAATTTCTCTCTCTCTCTCTTATGAACAAATACCCAGTGCTCTAGGAAAATCACCTTTGTAAAGCATCCCCTATCAAGTGGGTGTTAGAAGGTTTCTTGTGCTCTTTGTTGGACCCACTTGAGTTCTTTTCTTTAGCTAGCACTTCAGACCCGTGGAACCTCTTCATTTTGGGATCCGTCGTCCTGCCCTTTCTCTTCCACGCATCCTGGATCTGTATGCTTTAGGTTTGTCATTGAGCAGCATGTTGGCCATTTTATATGTCAGTTCAGAGGGGGGGGGTGCTGAGAAGATGGCTCAGTCAGTAAAGTGCTTGCCACACAGGATGAGGATCTGGGTTTGAGTCCCCGTGTAAAAGCTGGGTATCCGTATGTGTCTCAGTTACTGTTCTGTTGCTATGAAGAGACACCATGGCCAAGGCAGCTTAGAAAGGAAAGCACTTAATTAGGGCCTTGCTTAGAGTTTCAGAGGGTGAGTCCATGACCATTATGGCAGGGAGTGCAGCAGCTGCCAGGCAGGCACGGCCCTAGAGAGTAGCTGTGAGATCACATCTTGTCTGAAACTTGGAGGTAAGGAGAGTATGAATGTGAGACTGGATCTTGTATGGACTTTTGTGACCTCAAAGTGACACACCTCCTCCAACAAGGCCACACCTTCTAATCCTTCCCCAAACAGTTCCATCAACTGGGAACTAAGCCTGTGCAGGGCATTCTCATTCAAGCCACCACATGGCACATGCCTGTGGTGCAGAGAGCTGTATCTACTGAGTCTAACGTTACATCATCTTCAGAACAGTTATGCGTACTTGCAAGAGACCCTGCCAAAAAGGCCCCATGACTGGTGACATTCCCTCAAAGGAGAAGCAGGGGTAAGGGGGATCGCAGGACCCTGAACCGAGATTCTAGCTCCTCCTCCACCTCCCAGACTAGTAGCACGTGGCCTCATGGTTTCCAGAAGTGCTGGAGTACACAGTACAGGGAAGGTAACTGAAGGGAAGACTCCTACCTGTGTGGTTATAGGGAAGTCATCATCTTTGCAGGGGGTGAGACTTCTAGGTGGGTGTTTTGGAGTCACCCATGCTCTTTGAGTCATTCCTCACCCGTGTTCTGTAAGTAAACACAATAAAATTGTTCACCGAGTTGAGCTTTGATGGAATCAAACTTTGGTCTGTTGTTAGTGCCCAATAAGGAAAGGGTAGGTGTTGAATTGTATCGCCCTGGGGATAGAGTTCCTATAACAGCCTATAATTCTTGCTGAGACCGGATGGGGGCAGAGACATGTGGAACCAGAGGGAGGGCTTGTTAGCTGGCCAGTCTAGTTGATTCCACAAGCTACAGGTTCAGTGAGAGACCGTCTCAAAAGATAGGTGGAAGACATCCAGATCATCCTCTGTTTTCTGCACACATGCACACATATGTCTACACCCAGGTGTGATCGTATTCTGGAATTTGGGACAAGGAGAATCTCCAGTTCAAAGCTAACCTGAGTGATACAGGGTATAGCAGGATCCTAACATATCCACTCACCTCACTCTCACTCTCCCCTCATAGCCATTGGTGTTTAAGCAGAAGTTTATATCTTTATTATTTATATTTATATTTAATGTGCTCGTTGATACCTTTGGATTTAACTATGCCATCTTATTTTATGCTTCCAATTTGTTATGTTCATAGTCTTTCTGTTTGTTTGTTTGTTTTGATTTTTCAAGCCATTGTTTCTCAGTGTAGCTTGGTTGTCCTGGAACTCGTTCTGTAGACCAGGCTGGCCTCGAATGCTGAGGGATGTGCCTGCTTCTGTTAAAAATACCATGCAAGCTCTCTGAGCTTCATCTTTAAAAAAAAAAGAGCAGTGAGGCTGACATGAGGTACATGCCTTTTATTTTTAATTGTATGTATGTGTACACATGTGCTGGCAGGCCCAGAGGCGTTATATCTCCCTGGAGCTGGAGTTATAGGGGAGCTGGGACCTGTCCATTGTGGGTGCTGGGAATTGAACTCGAGTTATCTGCAAGAGCAATGGTCACCTTTAACCACACAACTATCTCCAGCCCAGGAAGTAGTTTCAAAGGTAGTGATCAAATACTGCGTTGCATTTTATCTACGGGGGCCTCAAATTCTCCTACCCCTCCAGTCCTATTTGACATCTCTAAAATGAATATGTTCTATAAAGTTCAGTTGGCAACATTTGTCTTTCTGGTTTATGAAATGCTGTCTCCAACCTGCTTAGCTTTGATGAACTACTACAGACAAGAGCTAGGATAGCCCCAAGGAGTCATTCCATTTTTAAAGTTTAACAAAAACAAATATATGTTTGTTATATATTAAGAAATAAATCTTTATCTTTTAGGGGATATGTTTAAAAATAATATGGATGCTATGATAGGCAGGATTTTTCTCTAAAAAGAATCTAAGGCTGGGTGGAGGTGGTGCACGCCTTTAATCCCAGCACTTGGGAGGCAGAGGACAGGTGGATCTCAGTGAGTTCTAGGCCAGCCTGGTCTACAAAGTAAGTCCCAGGACAGCCAGGACTATTTCACAGAGAAATCCTGTCTCAAAAAAAAACCACACACACACACACACACACACACACACACACACACACACACACACACTCTCACACACTCCCAGATGGGGACAGTAGGAGATGGCAATGAAACATGGATTAAGATTGGCTGTGTGTGGACAACTGTTGGTTGGTGTTGGGCAGTCACTGGAAGCTTATGACTCTCTCTGCCTCTCATGTTTGAAAATTTTCAAAGTAAAATAAAATAGGAACAATTCCAGAAATAAGTTTTACATGCAGAGTGTCCCCACTTTGCTTCTCGGGGTCTGGGTTTCTAGTTTTTGCTTTTCATTTTTGTTTGTTTTGAGTCAGGGTCTCACGTAACCCAGGCTGGGCTTAAAGTCACCGTATGGATGAAGATGACTTTGAATATCTGATTCTCGTATCTTTACACCCTAAGATGACAGGCTTGCATCATCAGTCCTGGTTTGTGTGGTACTCTGGTCAAACCCAGGATTTGTGTGTGTGTGTCAGACAAGCACTCTGAGCTACATCCCAGCCCTAAGTGGCACCGTAAATGTCACCTCCACAGAGGGCCCTCTACCTCACTAGTCCTGTTTTTACTTCTTCCCCCCTCCCTTCCCCCTCTCTCCTCCCCCATCATTGTTCTCTCCACCCTCCTTGACTTTATCTATTGCATGAGTGATTTTTGTGACCATTGATTCGCTTGCCTGACTACCGTCCCATGAATGTAAGCTCCATGGATCACAACCCTTGCCTGTTTGGCGCATGGCAGGCAATCAGGAAATACTTGGTGACTGACGGGAGCAGTGCTAGACAGTCGGCATTCTCCCCCCCTGTCTTCTGAGGCCCTTCCTTGGCTGCCCGTAAACCGGTAGCCTGGCTACTTTCAATGCTTAGCCTCTCCTTGTGTAGCTGGTGGCCTGACCCCAGTATCTACTCTAGTGCATCTGGCATCCCTCCATCTTGCTATCAGGCATTTCCTGTAGATAATTTCCATGCACTGCCCCATGGCCAGTCCCATGGCACTGAGATTGTTTTGTTACTCTGAGGATAGAATGCTGTATTGGCCAGGAAGCTGTCAGTGCAAAGTAACAGCAAACTCTTGGACAAACAGGGAGATCGTCGATTCCCATGAGCATTAATCATGGCCCCACCCCTGGGACTGGACAGTCTCAGCTCCACTCCCAGAGGCGCCACCTGACGTTCTAGCCACACATCTAGTTTATTTATTCAGCTTCCCGCCTTTCTGAGGCGCAGTGCCTCTGGATGCTGGGGAAAGCTGGCACAGCTCTTGGGTGACAGGAATACTGTTAGCAGCACTTGCTGAAATTGAGGCGATCGGGTGCTGGAGGAGCACTGTGTGGCCGCCAACTCTCAGGACAGACATTTTTCTTCCTAGAAAGGATTGGGGGCTGAGCTGCTCTGGGGGGGGGCACAGGAAGTTTGCCAAGTAAAGAAGGTAGGAAGAAGCAGGAACAGCCAAGAGGAGGGAGCAGTCTTCTCAAAGCCTGGATTAGACTAGGATGGACAGACAGGACAGCTACAGGCTGGATCCTTTGGATTCTGTCTAGTTTGTGTATTGCTCAAATCTTCCCATTGCTTTACAGTTGAAAACCAATACCGCACGAGCAGATGTTGTTACGGTTACTTTTCTTAAGTGTCTTCCGGGGCTCTTCTTGAGAGATCCTCTAGTAGGTCATTTCCCAGGAGAAGCCTCAAGACTGCGACCCATGTCCCCATCCTCACTCCACCCCCAGTGCTAACTGCTTCTGGCTTCTCTGTTGTTGAAGTTACATTTCATTTACAGGTGCAGAGAGGAGAAATACGATTATGAGAATTTGCCCAGGACTTCTGTCATCATAGCCTTTTATAACGAAGCCTGGTCAACACTCCTTCGGACAGTTTACAGTGTCCTCGAGACCTCCCCTGACATCCTGCTGGAGGAAGTTATTCTCGTAGATGACTACAGCGACAGAGGTAAGCCCTGTGTAGGGGCTAGGGTTAGAGGGTGAGAAACGAGGGGTTAGAACGCGCCCAGTAATGATTTGGGACATGTTGTAGGGTCAGATATTGGCCAGTGGGGAGAGGAGGCTGCACCAGAGTTTGGCTAAGTCAGAGAGGGCCATGGGGATCACCATAAGTTGTTGGGATTTCAAGAACCTGGTAGGAGCCACTCATAGAGCTTTAGAGGGACAGATAGGTGTAGTGATACTAAGAGTTCAGTGTGCTGGGTGAGGAATGGCCAGGGGCAGGAGCAGGGCTGGACCAGGATGGAAGTGAGGAAGGAAAGGAGCATTGCCTGCCCAAACACAGGACAGCTTGACTTAGCTAGAACTGGTATATCCAGGAGTGTCTTAGCCAGTGGGTCTTAGGTGACTGGTTAAAGTAGGGACTGCTGGGCTTAACTGAGGGGAAATGTCAAGACTTCAGCAATAGATAGATACCTGGGAGTGTCTTTACTAGAGGCAGTTTCAGACCACATCATCATTCTGGGCTGCCATGACCTCAGCAGCTGCTGCCTATGGGCTATGCTCTGGGCCACTGACTGCACTACACGGGGTTGCCCTGACCTACATCACCTTGGGAGAGTTCTGCAGCTCCAGTCTGCCTGGCCCAGGCTGGCTCCTCCCCTCTTGCTCATTCTAGTCTTCCAGAAAAGTTAAAAGGGGGCAAGGACTAACCCTCCCCCCCCACCTTTTTTCTGGAGGTTCCCTACCTTCTTCCATCAGGCAGAACATGGTGGCACAGTCACACCTCGCTGCAAGGGAATTGGGAATTACAGTCTTTATCCTGGTGGCTGTGAGCTCAGCTACAGTCTCCAGATGGGGAGGAGACAGGGAACAAACAACAGTGTCCTTGCAAATCAGGCTGGAGTTTGGTGTTGAGTGGAGCCCAGGGCCACTGAGCTCTAGGATCAGGATCCCTGGGTCTGGGGCTTGGGGGAGTTGCTCATTTTCTCTTGGCCTCAGTGTCTTACCTGTGAGTGGATCGTTCCACACCTCTGTCCTGTGGATTGGTTTATCCACACCTCTGTCCTGTCAGGAAGTTGCAGTGAAAAATAAATGCAATCATGTACATCCTGCTCCCATGTCGCACTGAGTGGGCTTGGATCCCCATCCCTAGCCCCAGGGACTCTATGGCTTTGAACTCTGGCCTTAGCCAGTTCAGCCTCTATAAACGGAGTCTTAATAATTCCTACATTGTAGGATCGCTATGAGGATTGAATGAAACGAGGCTAGGGTAGTGTGTTGTGTTAGTGCCTGCCAATACTCAAGGTTTGTTAAATGCTAACTTCTGTTTTTATGAAATGTTGTCACAGCTGTAAACTTAGTTCTTGTCTGCCACACTAACCCCAGTTAATCAACATAGGAACTAAAAAGCAAATATCAGATTGCTTTTATTATCTGTGTGGAATTAGGCAGCTCCTGAGCAGGCAGAAGTATGGAACATTGTGCCCTCCTTCACAGTGGGGAGGGTGGGCCAGCCTCCCCACCCCACCCCCATCCTATTCTGGCTACTTAGAGAGCAGGGGAGGAGCCATAAGACTTGGGACACCTTTGGCAGCTCTGCTTGCCTCCTCTTTACTTATCTGAAGTGATTGGTGGAGGGTTGAGGGGTCTGGCTCCTTAGCCCAGGAGGATAGCACAGGCCCATCCAAAGCCAGTTCTGGCAAACCCACCCGAGTTTAGGCAGGCGACACCAGTGTCTCAGTGTGCACATTCCACATTGTGCTTAACTGTCATAGCTTGCAAAGTTACCTTCCTCATTGCTGCCACCAGCTCGCATGCAGTCATTTAAAGCTTAAAAAGAAAATCAACCAAGAAATGTTCCTAAGTGTTAAGGCGGTTTAGAGAAATGTTTTCATGAATTATGAAACTACTTAGAGCATTCTCTGATAGATGAGAACTGTGGGCCAAACCTACACCGTAGTGAGGGGAAATGCTCTTTCTTCCCTTCCTTTGGCCTAACTAAGTAGGCTCCCACCTCCCTCCACCTGACTCTCTGTGGGTGTAACTCCTTGTCCTGGAATTAGGAGACCTGGGGGCTAGTTGTGGGCCTGTCATTTCCATATATACCATCTTCTGCAGCCTGGGATGTGCATGCCCCCCTGACAAACTTGCTACTATAGAGTGCTGCTTCTATATAAGGAGAGTGTCTACTAATAGACTTACTGTTTTAATAAAAGTGATGTCTTAGTCAGCTTTCCGTCTCTATAACAAAGCACCAGATGCAGGACACTTGGGAGGAAGAAGAGGTTTCTCTGGCTTATAACTTTCGGAGTTCAAGGACCTGGTGCCTTACCAGCTCAGTTCTCAGTTTCACAATGTTATAATGGAAGGCATTGGTGGGAAGTTGTGTGAGAGCTAGCTCTTGTACTTGGAGCCTGGAGCAGAGGGAGAGACAGGAGTCCTGTGTCCCCCTAGGAGTGCACTGTTACAGCGACCTCAGGGCCTCCCCATAGCCCCCACCTCCAAAAGTTTCTACCATCTCCCAACCCAGCCATCCCCCTCCAGCCTGCCCTTGGTTCTGGGCATCCTGGGTGACAAAGAAAAGGCAGCTTCTGTATACCGTTATTTAAGGGGATTAAGGGAATGCTAGATGGCGGGGGCTAGGACAGGACCAGTGCTCCACCAAGGACGTAGACCAGTGACTCTTGTTCTGTTTGTGTCCATAGAGCACCTGAAGGAGCGCTTGGCCAATGAGCTATCACAGCTGCCCAAGGTGCGCCTGATCCGTGCCAACAAGAGAGAGGGGCCTAGTGCGAGCCCGGCTGCTGGGAGCCTCTGTGGCCAAGGGTGAAGTGCTGACCTTCCTGGACTGTCACTGTGAATGCCATGAGGGGTGGCTGGAGCCTTTGCTGCAGAGGTGTGTGGGACACTCGTGGGGGTAGGGTGCTTGGGTGGAAGCAGGCACAGACAGCTTCACCTTGGCTGCTGGAGGGATGTCAGCGCCTGCATCAGATACGCTTCAGCAGGACCTCTGTGGTGGCGGCAAGCTTAGCCAGCTTATTATAGTATGCCTAGGGAGTATCATCGACCCAGGCTTACAAAGTTGTGAGCTACAACCTCATGCATTGGGATGTATTTGTTTCAAGCATGGCTCACTTAGCCATGGATATTGGAGTTACTCAGTACCCATTAAGTACAAGGTTTGGGGTCCTTGAAACTTGGAGAGCCTAAAAGAGGGTGTGTGTGTATAAATTTGTGTATTTGTTCTAGAATGGAACCAAGGGCTTGCCTTATGTATGCAAGGCATATCCTTAGAAAAAAACATTTATTTCTTTAAAAGTTAGAAATAAAAGTGCAAGTACACATGAGTATAGTGAACCCAGCCTATATTATTGTCATCTTTATGCTAGTGTAGTTGTAAAGTATACTTCTTTAATAATATGTTACACACATACACACTCACCTCTTCAAGGCCATTCCCCTGTCACCCCAAGCCTGTTAACATAGCTGCCTACACTGTGGGTCTGGCTGTGCTTCTCTGTATCTTCCTCTCCCAATCTCTGTTCTCTCCATGTCCTCCCCACTGTCTACTATAGAAGGCAGGAGTTGGCTAGCAAGCTAGGAGTTCCCCCAGAGGGAACTCTGTCTAGGTTCCCCTCTGCAGGCAGACAAAAGGTCAAAGGCCAGATAACCCTGGAAAACCCGGCTACATGGCCTCTGACTAGTTGCCAGTGTCTGTCTGGAAGAGCTGGGGACCTCCCCCCCTCCCTTCCTGGGTGAGACCAGGCCGCCCCCTCTCTGCTGCCCCCTGCTGTGGGTGTGACAGTAGCTCCCTTTCTCCCTTGCCACTGAGGAGTGTCACCACTCCCTAGGCTATCTGGAATCTGGCCAGTGACCTCCCTTGTTTCCCTCCCCTGCTGTGCACATAGATGGCTACTTTTAGGCCAGTGTGAAATCTGAGGGTGCCACCCCTTCTCCTGAGCTGATGCACTCATAGATCCTAGACTATCAGGGCAGTCCCTCCCAGGAGCCAGGCCACTGTCTGTGAGGAGCTTTCCTCCCTGCAAGTCCACTGGGGAATTCCTGGGGGATATTTGCATCTGACTCTTAGGGTTTTGCTAGGCTGCTGGATGTTTTCCAAGTTCACCGGGACTTTGGCATACATTGGAGTGAGACTCATAGGCCTGTCGACTGTGCCTAGGCAGTCTCAACTATATCCAGAGGGAGGGGCCTATGAAAATAGAGCTGTCTGGGTTGTCATGGCAGGTATTGCTCTTGGCACACCGCAAGCTAAGGATGCTGAGTCACCCATGTTGTGAAAATTGAAGGTTCAGCGCTCAATTCTGGAAACATCTCTATGAATGCTTCCTCTACTTCCTAGACAGAGTCTTGTACCCAAGTGTCAGCATAACACTCCCCCAGTTCCCATTTGTGTAAAGTTGGGCTCTCTACGGTTCCTGCCAGCTGGAGGGCAGGTCATGAGTTCCTGGGATACCTGAGCCTTGCCAGTGTCCAGCAGCTGAGACCTGTCCTCTGTCTGCTAACAATCCCTGTGCTTGTTTGAAGAGGTGATATTGGCGGATGCCTCATCTGCAGACTCGTCATTTTGGCGAGCTCCTCGGTTTGATCCTGTGTCTGCTTTGGCCTGACCTTCTAGTCTCGCCTCAGTGTTGCATCTTCGGTCTCTCTGACTTCCTTCCATTAGTCTAGAACACTGGCGACTCCAATCTGCTCCTCTGTTTCGTCGTTCTCCATGCTCTGACTTTTAGATCATATTTGAGATAGCTGTGCCCTCCACATACCCCAAATAAGCGAGTCCTCGGGAGGGTTCCCCTTTCAGTTCCTCCCCTCACGTGGTGTCATAGGTGATGACAATCATAGCTGATAGACAATTGGGTTTGGAATAGTGTTTGTGGATGGCAAGGCCAAGATGCATACAGGCTGCTTCATACAAGACGGAAGTTATAATATTTATTTTTTTCACTGCGTATTTCACAGTAACAAGAAAAGAAGTGGTTCTGGGTTCTCTGCCAGGGAGCTTGCAAACCAGCCCTTGGGAACCCTCATTTTAGCCCTAGGAGGACACATATCCATCTTGTTACCATAGCGGCAATAGATTCTGAGGCATCAGGTGACTTGGCTAAGGCAACACAGCAAATAAAGAGCATTAAGAGTCCATATGTAACCCTGACCTGTTGGTCTGAGCATACCTCCTAACCCCTTCTTCCCCCTCCTCCTTTTCCTTCTCTTCCTCCTCCCTCTTTCCTCCCTTCTCTTCTTCCTTCCCCCTCCCCTTCTCTTCTTCCTTCCCCCTCCCCTTCCCCCTTCTCCTCTTCCTCTTTTTTTTTTTTTTTTTTTTTTTTTTTTGAGACATGGTTCTTCTATATGGCCCTGGCTGTCCTGGAATATACTCTATAGACCAGGCTGGCTTCAAAGTCTCAGAGATGCACCTCTGTCTCTAGATTGCTGGGATTAAAGGTGTGCATTACCATGCCTGGTATATATTCTGTTCTTAGATAATTATATTTATTTAAAAATCAATTATATTGTATTGAGGGAGCAATAGTGTGTGTACATGTGGCAGTCAGAAGACACTTTGGAGGAAACTCTCCTTCTACCACGTGGGTCCCAGGGATTGAACTTGGGTCATCAGGCTTGGCATCAGGCTCCTTTATCCACTGGGGAGCCATCTTGATGACCAGAGATAAATAATCCTTGATGTTAAGGTGTTTCACTGTAATGGAGCCTCTTGCACATGCAAGGAATTGAACACATGCTTTGTTTTAAAAGTCGCCTTTGAGCCTCTGAAAGTGATTGAAACTTGGCCAGAATGTCCATGGACAGGATCAGAGAAGATGGAAACTGTGCAGGTGTTCCTATTCCAGCTCCTCTCTGCCTTCTTAGTATGCTCTGTGGTGGCTCCCAACATGGTCCAGACCCCTGAGTAAGGGAGGCTGGTGTTCTTTCTGCCAGAAGTGTCCCATGGTTCATTCTGGAACTCCTGGCTGTCTGTCTTCCTGCCGTCTGGAGCGGAGACAGACAGATGACAGATGTGTTGGGTATTTGCAGGATCCACGAGAAGGGAGTCGGCAGTGGTGTGCCCCGTTATTGATGTGATTGACTGGAACACCTTCGAGTACTTGGGCAACTCCGGAGAGCCCCAGATTGGCGGTTTTGACTGGCGGCTGGTATTCACGTGGCATGTGGTTCCCCAACGAGAGCGGGAATTGATGCGGTCCCCTATCGATGTCATCAGGTTGGGTCTGCCTTCCTGGCCACTATCTCAGAGCACATTCTAAGGGGGGGTGACAGGCTGGTGACTTCCATTTCCTACCTATTGTTTTCCCAGAGCATTTATCTTATTAAATATATTGGTATGTGTCAGCTAATTGGTTGAAAATTCTAATGGGAATATCTGAATAAACTAAAATTTTCATTTTTTCCCTGGTGGTGTTGAGAGTTGAATTCTGGGCCTCACACATGCCAGGCAAGTGCTAGCTCCCCCAGCCTCTGTCCTCTATGTTCTAAAAGCACAGGGGTTTCCTCACCCCCATCCCTTGTCTCCCACCATTATTCATGTCAGGGGGTGGGGTCACATTTCCTTCCTCCTCTTCGGCTTCCTTCTTCCCACAGACCTTGTCTCCTCCAGGAGACTTGGTTCTACCCTCTGTGCCCTTGCTCCTGCCTTACTGAGCTCTGGGTGGCCTTCGTTGAAGTGTGTCACACGCAGGGCTCAGGGGACTTGCTGTTCGAGCTGTTTGTGAACTATGGGGTGTGGCTGTGCCTCCAGGCTTAGCCTGGTGCAGGACAGTGTGCATTCATTGTGCTTATGGATGGATGAATGCATGAAAGGGCTCAGATTCCAGGGACATAGACTCCAGGCGGGGGAGGGGGGTGAAGCCATCCATGAGGACTTCGTGCTTCTTCCATTGAAATATGGGTACCACTTTTTTCTAGGTCTCCAACAATGGCTGGAGGGCTGTTTGCTGTGAGTAAGAGATATTTTGAATATCTGGGGTCTTATGATACAGGAATGGAAGTCTGGGGAGGAGAAAACCTTGAATTCTCCTTTAGGGTAAGTAGTCCTGTTTTCTGTTTGGACTCATCCTGTGTTCCATAACCTCCCTCCCTCCCTCCCTCCCTCCCCCCCTCCCTCCCTCCCTCCCTCCCTCCCCCCCTCCCTCCCTTCCTCCCTCATCAGTGTCGGTGTGTCCCATTATTCTGTAAGACATCTTACTGACCCGCTTGTCTTTTTATTTAGCTAGTTTACAAGTGTAATTTTGCACTTACATAAGACTTGTGCTGGAAAGGACATTGCAGTTTTGTGGTTTCTCACTCTGCAAATGGGGGAAACTGACACTGGGAGTGGGCTGTGACTTATGCATGGTCACTCAGAATTAGTGGCAGAGCTTGGACTAAAATACCAGAGCCAGAGTCCTGCCCCCATCTGGAGCTGCTGTCTGGCCAACTGTTTAGGAGGCAGTCTGTGTGTAGCATACCTGATAACTTCGGGGAACTGCCTTTAAAAGGTGGGTCCCCAGGTTCCCATGGAAAGTCAGATGTGATAGATTTAGTGTGAGGTCAGGAAGTGGCCTTCTGCAGCAGGCTCTGCAGCCTCTCCACGAAGACTTAGTGTCCCGGTGACTTCCTCGTCAGCAGAATCTTACGTGTTTAAGAATCAACACTTAGATTTGTATCTGTGTTTATCTGTTGTTCTACCCTCTTGAAGACAGTTAACAGAGAAGAATTTGGCCTCTTCTCTCACCCCGCACTCACATCCTAAGTTATAAACACCAGATGCTTGTCCAGGGAAAATGAGGGTCCAAATGATCCTGCCCGCGGAGCTTTGGGTGTGATTCTAACAGCTTTTCTGCCTCTTCCCTAGGTGTCAGGATACTCTGCCTCTTCTAGAAGTTTCCTCTCTACCTTTCCAACCTCTCTCCTTCCTTGCCGCTTTCTTCTCTTCTGTGGCATCAGGTAATGAAGACATGTCTGACCCGCTGAGGACGTGGGTTGCCGGCGAGGTCTCTGGTCCTCCCCGGTCAAGTGCATGAGCTTTATTGCCTGGGCTCTGGGGTTCTTGTCTGGGGTGACTTGTCTGACTTGGGACTGCTTTCTTGCTCTTTCCCTTAATGTCAAGTGCAGGCTGGCAAGTGGCCTCTGTCCCTGGGGAGGCTGAGCTCCCAGCAGGTGCCGCCTCCTGGCTGCACCGCACTCTCTATGGACCAGCAGCCTTCCTCACTTACTGTGTATCCTCTCCTCTCCACCTCCATTGCAGATCTGGCAGTGTGGTGGCACTCTGGAAACACATCCCTGCTCTCACGTAGGCCATGTTTTCCCTAAGCAAGCTCCCTATTCGCGCAGCAAGGCCCTGGCCAACAGTGTCCGAGCTGCGGAAGTGTGGATGGATGAATTTAAAGAACTCTACTACCACCGTAATCCCCGGGCCCGCCTGGTGAGTCTGCCCACCTGTATGCCACCAGCTTCCTGGGAACCAAGCCCCACAGTCCGGCTTCCCCAGCAAAATAAATCTGGTTATAAGAACAGGGGCCAACGGTGCCTTTCTGATACAGCATGGGAAAACCTTTTCTTCAGTCATGCTAATACCCAGTTGATTCTCACTGTCCACAGAGCCTTGTTTATAAAGCTACTGCAAATACTAAATTAGTGATTTCCACGCCACTGCTCCTAGCAGGATTAGATTCCCCTGAGACTCAGACACAACAGTTTTACCAGCCAATTGGGACTATTGTATGCATTTCTGTTTCAGGACACTTTAATATAGACTGTTGGTCCATCAACACTGACCTCATGACCAAGGGCACTGTAACCTGTGTCTAGACAGCTCTTAACTAACAAACTTTCACACCCTTCTGTTTTTTTTTTAACCTTTATTTATTAATGTGTATGCAGGCATGTATGTGTAGGTATGTATGCATGTGTGCCCCCATCTTCATGTGTGTTCATGTGTACAAGTGTGTTATTGTGTGTATTTATGCCTAGGTGTATGCATGCCATGGCTCATGTGTTGAAATCAGAGGACAACTTTGAAGAGTTGCTTCTTTCCTAATACCATGTGGGTTCCAGGAATTGAACTCAAGCTGTCAGGTTTGGTGGCAAGTGCCCTTGACAGCTGAGCCATATTGTTGGCCCCACATCACTTTCTTAGATTTAGGAATGCGAGAAGCATGGACTGGGGGTTCAGTTTTGATGGCTGGTAAAGTCAGCAACACATGGTAAAAACAAGGTCCCAGTAGATATGGAAAAGACACACAGGAAGGTATGGCGTGGCCTTGTTAGACTTTCCTGGGAGCATGCGTGTTGAAGAACTTGAAGGAATTGTGTATGATTGTCTGTGACTGAAAGCACCACGAGTATTGATGTAGGGTCACAAACCAACCCCAATATGGAGGTGAATTTCCAAGTAAAGAACCAGGGAGTAGCCAGGCTGGCATAGCCAGTCGGGGTTGTGTAGTGTCATCTGTTGGCCGTGGTGCAGGTGTCATAGCTTTCCTCTTTGTAACCAGCTTGGTTGAGTCCGTGTGTTTATTCTTCTATGGCTTACATAGCTGCCCCCCTTGGACTCCAGCCACACACTGAGCTGAGCTGAGCCCATACACCTTGTACTGATTGAGGCCCTGAGAGAGGGAGCCAGCATCTCTCCTTAGGCACATGGCTTAGGGCTGCTTATACCTCACAGCCCCATTCTGCCCTTGCCTGAGGGTCCTTGTGGGCCCATGGCCTCCATACCAGCAAGCTCTGTACATCAGATGCCAGCTTTGTACACCGGAGGGCCACACGGTGACTCAAGGAAGTCTTCTCCAAGACATTTGTCCTGGCCCTTGATGGACATTTCTCCTGATGCCTCCCAGCAGCCCTGCAGGGGAGCTACCAAATCCTCATCTGATATATGAGAAATCTGAAGCGCAGGAGGTGGGAGAGAAGGAGGAAGAAGAGGGAGGGGAGACTGAGAGCCTGAAGGAATCTACCCAAGGCCTGCTAGCTTATGGGAGGTAGCAGCAGGCCTGGGGCCTGCATGCTCCAGAGTGCCTCTCTCTCAGCTCTGCTGAACCCAGGAGCCAACAGCCCCATCTCCTGCACGCTCCTGTGCCTCAGGGACGCCACGGTCATTTGCCTCAGTTTCCTCTGTCTTGCCTAGTGCAGCAGACTAAAACATCTGCTCCTCTCTGCTAGCCAACCTGCAACTCTAGGTCGCTGTTTTCAGGGTTCACCCCCTCCACAAAGTGTGTGAGAGCAGTGTGGAATGCACCTGCAGGCTCAACGCATGTTGGGCTGTGTTTGAAGATGGGCACAGTGACTCATGAAAGAAAGGACTTCTGGGGCCAGTGAGACAGCTCAGTGGATCAAGGGGCTTGCTGCCAAGCCAGAAGACCTGAGTCCAATCCCTGGGATCCACATGGTGGAAGGAGAGAGCTGACGGTCACAAATTGTCCTCTGGTCTCCGTATGTGCGCCGTGGCATGTGCACACACACTCACACAAAATAAACATTATTTAAAAAGAAGTGGGGGGTAGAAATTGGAAGTGTGACCCCCAGACACGAACTGCCCATCCTTGGTGTCACATTAGAGCAAGGACATCCATATCTCAGGCCTCACCATTTTTCTTGGTTGAACAGTTGTGCCGTATGGTGGCAGGGTTCATGTAGTTACAGGGGATTTGCCTGTGAAGCCAAACTTCCAGAAGTGTGCTTACCGCAGCAGTGACCTCATACTAATAAGTGTTCAGCAGGCATTTGTACTTCATTATAGTGGTGATGCAGATCACTCCTCACTATCTAGGACCCACTGTCTGTGTCTGAGAGTAAATATTCAGACAGCAATATTAAGAAGGGCACAACCTAAGTCATGGCATCCCTCTGGCTGGACAGCAGAATGGCCTGTGGTTACAGCATCCACAATGGTGCACAGGTCCCGGATGCTGATGTAGGCTTCACGTTTGGCTCCCAGGCTCTGTCGGCAGGTGCCTTGCCTCCTAATCACATTCTCCTACCCAGACGCCCCTATAGCTCTGCCAGTGTAACAGTCTCTTCTGCTTGTTGCCTATGATGTGACTGTCCCAGATCCTAATGTGTTACCCTGTTGGAGACTGACACGTGTTCCCCTCCCCCAAAAAGGCAATAGTAAGTATCTGAGTTCTTCACATTTTTATCTCCTGGCTCTTTTAAAAGTAAACTCCATGTAATCTGTTCTGTGTGAGTGTGTGTGAGCTTTCCTTGGTGTACATATGGAGGTCAGAGTTCAATTAGTGGTATTTGGTTTTCTCCTCACAAACCAAGCACTCTGGCTGCTTGACCATTCTGTGCCCGGTACCCAGTCAGTAAAAGCCCATGATTATACATTAGTTAGTGATGTCAGTGAGGATGGCTCCAGGGCCCGTAGGACTCGACCATTCTGTTTTCTCAGGAACCTTTTGGGGATGTGACAGAGAGGAAGAAGCTTCGGGCCAAGCTCCAGTGTAAAAACTTCCGGTGGTTCCTGGAGACAGTGTACCCAGAACTGCATGTGCCGGAGGACAGGCCTGGCTTCTTCGGAATGGTAAGCAGTGAGTGGGTCGTGGCAGTTTGGATGCTGCCGCATCTTGGGTCTAAACAGTGATCCTGGGGGAAGAAAATCCCCTATCTGACCCCCTCCTGTGTGATGGGGCACTGTCTTTTCCTCCCCCCTGAACATCTGATCCTGGGTACAGAATGTCAGGGCTGGAAGGCACCTGGAAATTGGGAAGGATGAGCTACTCTTTGTGGTTATTGTTTAATAAGTGGAGGGTGGGGAGGCATGGTTCATGTGGTTCATCCAGCTTGAGACCGTTAGACCTGTGTGGAAGTGCTTGCGCCCATTGAGCTTCTCCAGTTAATTAATTACTCTTCTAGGGATGAGAAGTGAGTCTTGATTCTTACTAGTATTTTCAGATTACTTTTAGTCTTAATGGGCCTGACCCACAAAGGCAGTGGTAGAGGCAAAAGACTCACTTCCAATACCCCCAAAAACCTCAAATGAACATTTGTGAAACAAGGCCAACTAAGACAAGAGTCTTGCTTTTGCCAGGAGCCAGACCGTCACTTGTGGCTTTCCCCACTGTTGCTTGTGTAAAGTGCTGGTGTTCAGTTTTAGATAACTACACAGCCAGGGTTTAGTGTTCAATTATGTTTTCAGTGTGAAAGTGTTCAAATGCACTAAAATGCAGAAATAACGAGTCTTGTCCCTGTGGTTCTAGAATACTCAAGACTGTTCCTCCTGCTTCCTGCCCTTGTCCCACCCTTGATGTTTTTTGTCTACCGGGACAAACCCCAGGCGTCATGTCATTCAGGCCTATGCACTTGAGTGTGCATCTTTGTAAATGCAGCAGTATCCTAGGACTCACACCATCACCGTGGCCCGCCACACGCCACAGAACCACTAAGCCTGGCCACTGCTCACTCTCTTTCTAATGCACAGTTTCTCAGCCTGCTCTTTGGGTAGTTGCAGATTCTAGCAGGGATTCCCACACTGTGTCTGACTGTCACATCTTGCTTCAGAAGGCTCCGTTAGCCCGAGTCATACCTCCACATATTTCTCATCAATACTGCTTTTACCATGTTGAGGGGGGAAAAAAAAGTCTTGGCTGTCTGTGGCATGTTTCACTCATGGTGTTGTCTGTAAGTTGCCCCTCTCTCCTCCATGTTTCTTTACCATGGAAGTGGGGCCGTGATGCAGAGATGTTTGGGCCAGGGCAGCGATAAGACTGTGGCCGAGAAATAGAGATGTGAGCTTTCAGGCCAGCTTTGTCTTCTTAACGTGGGGCCAAGTTCCCACCTATTATTAACACGGGAAAGCATTATAATGACAAGAAAAGAGCAGGACAAAGGGAAAGGGCTCATCTCCCTGGGGTGGTCGCTGGGGCCTCTGTCCTCATGTTCTCCCCACTGACCCTTGTGTGAAATCTCCTGGTGTGTAGATATCTAGACCCAGGTGCCACCTTTGTGTCTTGTTTAGCTCCAGAACAAAGGACTCAGAGGGTACTGCCTTGACTATAACCCTCCTAATGAAAACCAAGTTGATGGCCACCAGGTCCTTTTGTACCTCTGCCATGGGATGGGGCAGAACCAGGTAGGTGCGGGCCTCAATGGGGGAAGGGACAAGCTTTGTTACTTTTCCTTTTAAAAAACTTTTTTATTGTGTTTATTTGTGTGTGTGTGTGTGTGTGTGTGTGTGTGTGTGTGTGTGTGTACATGTACATGTGCCTACAGTGCCTACAGTGTGTGTGTGAGAGAGCCAGAGGGCAAATGCCAGAGTCTTTTCTCTCTTTCTGCCATGTGAATCCCAGGGATAGGACTCAGGCCATCAGAGTCTTTATCAGCTGACCCATCTCCCCAGCCTTCTGTGTGTTCTTTAGGAAATTAAATATCTGGGTTTGCTTTGCTTTATTTTCCTGTTGAAGTACAACTCAGTGGCAGCTCACTAGCCTAGTGTGTGGGGCTCGCTGGTGTCTGTTACTTTGGCCTTATTTGGGCTCAGGGTTTCAGAGGGTTCAGCTCATGGTGGCATGGTCCTGTGTGCTTAGGTAGAACATCATAACAGCAGGAATGTGAGGCGGATCAGAGTCATTCACACCATGAAGTCAAGATAGAGAAAAGGGATACAGTAGAGGATGAGGACAAGATCCATCCCAAGGACACATTCCAAGCATTGCTCCTCCAACGAAACCCCGTCTTACTCTTCACTACCTGCCTCCTGTGCATCACTTTACAAATCCATCAAATGACTATAATATAAAAAGTAGAAAGGGGTAAGGGACAAGACTCAGAAGGACCATAATATGAACATATGTCTTCTTTCCTCTCGTGTTGGCATGAAAGCTTTAGGTTACAAGCTATAAGTAGTTATTGTGGTGTATTCATATAGTTTTAGCTTAGTTATGTGTATTGATGTCAGGTGTCTTTTGAAGGTGTCACTCCATGTGGCCTCTTGATATTTGAATTGATGCTTTCATTATTATCTAATTCACTGGTTGTCTGCCTCTGTTTTTGTCATTGGAAGTAATTCTGCCACTAATTTGGATCAGAAAGAGGAAATCATGTAAAGATTTTTTAAAGATCGTGTGTGTGTATGCGTGTGCATGCATGAGCCATGGCATGAGTGTGAAAGTCAGAGGACAGTTTGTGAGAGTTGGTTCTCTCCTTCTGTTTTGTGGGTTCTGGGCATTGAACTCAGGTCATCAGTTAAAGGCAAGCACCTTTGACTGCAAGCTAGCCCCAGAATTGTTTGATGCATGGTATCAAACCAGTGTTGGGGAAATTGCTCAGATGGGGTCCAGGCAGATCTTTCTGGTTTAAATGCTATGGGTTAAACTGGGCAGAAAGGCTCAGTTTTAGGTTTTCTGAGCAGGTGATAGCCCAGGAAAGCATGTTTCTGTGCCAGAGCAGGACCACACTGGGGATGCAGAGGGTGCCGATGGATTGGTTTGGGACCTACAGCACTTCCCGGCTGTGAAGAGATGGGGCCATGGTATTTTTCTGTCACCCCCTACTTACCATTTGACTGTAAGATTCCTCATAGCCTGAACTTCCAAACGTCCACCATTCCAACCCTGCCACCCAGCTTAGAGCCCTGTTCCTCCAAGCTCAGGTTATCTATCTATGATCCTCAGTTCAGGCCCATCTCACCTCGAATCCTCACCTTCTGTTTGATGAGCTCTTAGAATATGAATGGAGAAGCATTGTACCCTGTGCCTTGGAACCCACTGTGTTAGAGGCAGGAGAAGGCACCTTGTCTGAAGTATTAAGAAGTATAACTTCTTGGGCCCTTCTGGGAGACAAAGAACCCTTATTCCCACTCTGCAGTGGAACCAGGGACCAGCATCTTTCACAAGAATTGTAGGGAGATGCCAAGCACACCAGAGTAGGAAACATGTTGTTTGGGATGAGAGATTTCTTTCTTTTGAGGGGGCGCAGTTGTGGTGAGTCGGGTGTTAAGCCAAGGACCTGGCCCCCATTAAGCAAATGCTCTACCACTGAGCTGTACCTCATCCCCCAAATCATCTAGGCCCCCTTTATAGCCATTTAATGGAAAGAGAAGGAGGATAAGGCAAAGGAGGGGCGGCTGCTTGAGGTTGCAGATGGCCCCTGAGACAGGTCCATTTTCTTTCCCACTGGCCCATCCTCCCTGTCTAGTAAGTGGGGTGAACAAGAGAGGAACGCTCCACTCCACTGGATAAGCACTGCATTAGAGGCCAGCAAGGTCCCAAGACACCTGGGGCCCTAACACGATCATGGCAGTGGTGGTGTGGGTTAGTGGTGGTCCAATCCACCTCACTTAGTCCCCCTAGATCAGTGGTTCTCAACATTCATAATGCTGAGACCATTTAATACAGTTCCTCATGTTGTGGTGACCGCTGACCATAAAATTATTACCATTGCTATGTCATAACTGTAATTTTGCTACTGTTGTGAATCGTGATGTAAAGGTCTCATATGCAGGTTGAGAACTGCTGTCCTAGATGATCTTGTTCAGGGCATTTTCTTCCACATCACAAGGTAAACTGACATGTGTTCGTCACCCTGTTGTTAGTTTTTCGAGTATACATCCCAGAAAGAAATACGTTACAACACCCGCCAGCCTGAGGCCTGCTTAGCTGTGGAGGAAGGGAAGGATGTCCTTGTCATGCATCTCTGCAGTGACACTGTCCCGGAGAATCAGGAGTTCATCCTACACGAGGTCAGTGAATGTGCAGCTCTCTGCCATCCATCCAGGTCTGTAAGACAGCGTGGAAGCCAGACGTTCTCTCTGGCCTGGTCAGTGGGTCTTAGACACTGGAAACTTCGCTGTGATGCTGGGAGGTGACTGTAGGGTCAGAGTCTATGGGCTTCTGGTGACAGTGGGGCTTTCTTCTCTTTCAGTCTTACACCGTGAGTGAGAGCAGGTTGTAATAGGAAGCAGAGTTGTCACAAATTTATGGGAGTGAGGTGGAGTTGTTAATACAAGTGTTGTAATGGTCTAAGTGCTAGGACGGGAGCTGAGACCCAAGCATGAATCATCCTGTTCCCCTGAGCCTCATTTCACCCTTGCTCTGAAATGGGCTTGTTATTAGCAGCCCTGTCCTGCTCCAGGAAGGACTCAGTGTGATCCCAGGACTTCCTGTGGAAGCCGAGGCCCTATAGAGATGTCACCTAGCAGACACTCAGGGATGGAGCTGGCTTTCCAGATACTGCTGGTTGAGAGTTTGGTGTCAACACACACCTAGAATACAGAGGCCCTTAGCCTACTTGTGGCAGGCTCATGGCAGTACTTTACAGAGAGCTGGAGGAAATAAGTCCAAACAAAAATGAGTTCTCTTTAAGTGTCTATTCTTGGCTAGCCTCAAGGATGGACAGAAATTGCTTTGCAATGGGTAAATCCTAAATCCCATTTGAAGTTGAAATATGTACTAATAAGCAATGGAGTTTGCAGGCTCTCTTGGAGGAGCTAAGCCCTGTAGTGTTGCCTGTTTGACAGAAGAAAATGAGAGCTGGACATGGTAGCACACTCCTATGATCCTAGCACTCAGGAGGCTGAGGCAGCCATGTCTTTAAATAATTAGGAAGACTAATCCATACACCCTACAATCCGTTGTCCTCTTCCCTTTGCATTTGTCTTCCATATGTACACGGTGTCAACTCTCAGAGAACAATAGTGGAAACAAGATTGGTCTTACACCACAGTAAGAATTTCACAGTAGGGCTGGAGAGAGGGCTCAGTGGATGAAGGACTTGCCATGTGAGTGTTCCAGCCACCACATAAAGACCAAACAGGTGTGATGGCCACCTGGAAGGCAAGCATTTGGGAGTCAGAGATAGGGACTCCCCAGAACAAGAAGGCCAGCTAAATCGGTGACCTTGAGATTCAGGAGAGACCCTGTCTTCTGGTCTCTGCACACACATATGCCTATGTATACACACACACACACACACACACACACACACACTTTTACCTTAAAGTTCATTGGTTACTTAAGAGGAAGTAAGTTTGTGTAGAAGGCTGGGCAGAGAGATACTGTAGTGAGAGCTTACTTTTAGTTTCCTAAGAAGGCTACTTGGGGGCGGACAGGGGGCTGGAAGGGTTGGGGTTAGCAGTATCTACCTGTTTACAAGGCTCTCCCTCAGAACTGGGAGGTTATACACTGACTATTTGGGCCTTAGTTAAATTCCTTACAGGAGTCCAGCTTATACCATAGAGAGAGGGAGGGGTAAAATGCACAGCACAGAGAGGCTCTCCATGCCCTGGGCAGGTGGGTAGAGAAGCAGGGCCAATAAAGATCCCCACAGCCTGTGAGACTAGGACTAGCAGAGAACCCTCTGCCTCTCACTACGGCTGGGAAGGTGACCAGAGACTCAGGTCCCTTACCCGGCTGCAGCCAGGTCTCCTGACTCTGTTAAAATACTGAGAAGGAAGCCATAGGGATGGAGTTAGGTAATGAAGGAACACGTGGGAGGTAAGTAGAGATCCTGGTTGTGCTTTCACTGGAGAAAGGACCGGGGACAAGCTAGAGGCACAGAGCCATCCTCTTGAGTGCCAGCAGGTGGCACTGTTTTGCAGAGCTGACATATTTTGAAATGCTAAAGATCACTCCTTGGGGGTCTTCAAAATGTGCCTTACAGGAAATAAGGCTTTTCTGAGAAGTCACTTGAACATCATCTTGAACATGCAACGTCTGTTATCATTTGTAGGACGGCACTTTAGTTCACAAGCAGACCAGGAAATGTGTCAAAGCCACAAAGAAGGAGTTGGGCCATGGCTTTGCACCACTCTTGCGGGACTGCACCAACTCAGACAATCAGAAATGGTTCTTCAAGGAACACGTGTCATAGTGCATCGCCTGGTCAAGGAAGGAGCCCACCATGGCACAGACTCTGTGCCCAGCGAGATGGAGGAAGTACATGGTTGGCATTTGTGAATGTGTTGAATTTCACACGGATGTGGTGAATAAGCCTTGTGCAGAGTTTGAAAACTTTAAGAGTGTCTCCCAGCAATCCTAAAATGGTATTTGGTATTTGGAAAGGTGAATTAGGATATTTTTTCTATCAAGATGTGCATTTCACAATGGTACCTTTTATTCTCACTAGAAAAAGAAGGTAAATATTTTATTTTGGTACTTACAAAGATCCCAGGTATTTGCAGTGTACTTTGCACAAACTGATAATACCTCAAATGTCGAGTTTTTTCGGTGGGATGAGATGGACACTAGAAGCGTTGTGTTGATTTCTTCAGGTGTGAGTTAGATGAGATAATAAAAGCATGCTTTTTGCTTAAATGTTGGTAATACAGTCCAAACTCTTATCATAATGTTCACACTAACTAAATCTGAAATTTCAATTTTGCCAAGATCGTGCAAACTTGAGAGGGTATTTCCAACAATGCCTAGTGGAAGGGTGGCCGGTAGCTTTTAGTAGTGCTTAGCCACTGTGACTTTAAAACGTGTTTGCATACCTTATAATTTTTATCACAAGATAGTGCCAGGGAGAAATGCAATATTCACAGGAAACTCATTTTTCAAGTTGGTTCTTAAATAGTGTTTGATTATTTAAATCAGTGTGAGAGTTTGTGATGAAACAGCTGCTTGGATATTACTCAATAATTCAGATGTTTGCGTGGTCCTAGATCAGTTCCCAGAGCTCACCAACTTACTAAAACCAATAGGAATGATTAAAAATGCCATAAGTGAACTAGGGGTGTAGGTCAGTTGGTAGAGTGCCTATGTAGCATGAATGAGGCCCCAACACCTCACATTTAACAATAGGCTTGGTGGCACACCCCTAACCCCAGCACTTGGAGGTGGAGGCAGAAGGAACAGAAGTCCAGGTTATCCCTGGCTACACAGAGAGTTTGAGTTCAGTCTGTCTCAAGAAATGTCAGTGAGAAGGTAGACTGTGGATCTTGTTTTTGTCCCAGTTAATTGTGAAAACACACTATGATGCATTAAAAAGTGTCACCTCATGTCTCATCTCTTCTCTCAAGCATTCTACCCTGAGGAGATCTTTCTAGAATGGTGCTAACAGCTCCCCAGAAACAGATCTGCTTGGCCTGGGCCCACCTGATGCACCTTAACTGCCCTGTCCTTGTGAGTGAGATGGAGATCGTGGAACGGAGTTTGGGAGCAGGAGCATCAGGGCTTACCTGGTCTGGGGCATGTGGGAGGGGTCCTGAGATGTTAGCTTTGATTCCTTCCCTGCAGGTGTATGTAGTGTGTGTATATGCATGATCCCATATCTGGGGAATGTGTGTAGAGGTCAGTTTGACTTAAGGTGACTTCCTTGATCGTGGTCTGCAGACCTCCATGTTGGCCAGGCCTTTCTGTGGTTACTGGGGACCCATCCTCTGCTCCTCACTCGTTGAAGTCAAGCACCTTGTCGATTGAACCATCCTACCACTTTAGAGTCTCATAAATGTCCTGTATACAATGCAGAGCACAATGCATGTCTGCAGGGCGTTTATTCAGAAGCAAATAAGAAATAATACAGATCTTTTCTCTTTACGGATTAGGCGGCTCTTGAGCAGGCATGGGGTGGGGCAGCCCTACGTGGCTCAGCTCTCAGGGGGCAGAGTGGGCCTGGCCTTCTCCTGGTGCTGCTGTGGAGACTTGTAGGTCAGGGGAGGGACCGCTGTTCTGCTTACCCCTGCCGTCTGTAGTGTAGGGTCAGGTGGCCTGATGTGGGGGGGGGCTGCTCCCCAAACACAGGAAAACAGCCTGGGTGGGCCAGACATGAAGCTGTTGTCCACAACTGCACCCAGAGTGTGGGAGGCTGCACCTGTGTCTGTGTGTATCATTGGCATGGCAGCCAACTGGCTCTGCTTGAGGAGTCAGCTCCCTTACTCCTTCCACCAGGAGAAGTGAGCTTTAGTGTATGGGAAGATCAGGAAAACAGTCTCCTCTTATTTTTTGACACATGACAGTATCTGAGGAGGCTTTCCCTGCCGTGAAGGGCGGAAAGTCTAAAAAGGCCACATGGATGTGAGAGGAGGCGCCACAGTTGTCTTGCCTGTGGGTTCCTGTCTCCACATGGTCCCAGGAAGGTGTGGATGCAGTGTTGGTGTGCGGAGTTTGCCTCGGGTCCTAGGATTCCATTTTATTTTCCTCTTTGGAGCTCGCAGGAGAGTGCCACCCCTAGTCTGGCCTTGCTGGGGATCTGGGTGTTTGATGGTGGGTGTTTATGGTATGTTTTGTGTGGGTGACTTCTGTGTCCTGGAGGACAGTCTGATGTCCAAGTGAGCACATGTCCCTTTCACAGACTTTGTTTATGCTGGCAGGTGGCTGAGGATCTTTTCTCCCTCAGGTCTAATATAACCTACCAAGACTGCCATTCTCTGGGAGAGCCCTGATCTGGAAAGGAAGAAGTTAATTAGTGTTAGGAGTGCCAGCCAGCATGCCATAGGGAGGGGAGGAAAGTCACAGGAAAAGCAAGCAGCAGTGTGTTGTAGATCCAGAGGGGTGAGACGGGCCTTGTACTAGGTTTCCCTGGAGGAACAGGACTGATAGGATGAATCTAAACTTAGAGAGAAAGGGGGTTTGATAGAGTGGCTAGCAGGCTGTGGTCCCGCTAGTCCAACAGTGGATGTCTACAATTGGAAGGTCCAAGAATCCAGTAGGTGTTCATTCCATGAGGCTGGATATCTCAGCCGGTCTTCAGCACACACCAGGATCCCAAAGAAGTAGGCTTTCGTGCCAGTGAAGGAATGGGCTTGCCAACCAGAGAGAGAGAGAGCAAGCAAGCAAAGAAAGCAAGCTTCCTTCTTCCATGTCCTTTATGCTGACTGCCAGTGGAAACTATGGCCCAGATTAAGAGTGGGTCTTTGTGCCTCAGAAGATCTGGATTAAAAGTGGGTTTTACCACTTCAGATGATTTAATTAAAACAAAACAAAACACTCTCTCAGGTGTGCCCAGACACTTGAGTTTTAGTTATTTTTAGATGTAGTCAAGTTCACTATCAAGAATAGTTGTCATAGGCCTCAAGAGGCCAGCAGGAAGAGGGAACTGTCAGGGACATGCACAGTCAACCAGGGAATGGAAAGGAAGTGTGGTGTGGGGGCATTGGTGACCAGAGCCTTTACTGGGGTTCTGAGTGTTATCTTAGCACGTTTTCCCACAGGGTTCGAACAGGTGTTCTGGGTTGAGGCACTTGTGTAAAGGTACACTGAGACAGGCAGTCTTCATAGATCTGCAGTCTACACAGGGTGTGGGGATCAGTGGGGTTAGTCTCATAGGAGTGTGGTTTCTGGGGGGGGGTGTATGATTGAGACAGAGGAACTGGGAAGTGGGGGAGAGAACTGGAAGTGATGCCCAGGGTGACCACATCTATCTTTAGTATGAGCAAGTTAACCCTATACTTACTGGAGGCTGAGACAATGCACTGTATTATCACCTAACTTAGATAACAGGGCTTATAAAGTGACAATCCACTACAGACTCATTGCCCATCTGCATGATGGTGGCCCAAGTGTGTATCTTCTAGTGATCTTTCTCTCTCACACACACACTTACACATACACACACTCACACACAGACACACAAACACATATACATATCCAGTGTTGTTCCAACCCACTGCCATGTGCAGGCTAGGCAAGTACTCTACCACCAAGCCGTAGCCCTCTTAACTATATTCTTTAGTTATTTGTCGAGCACATGTCTTAGAAATCAGAATACGCTTCTTAAATTTTTCACAGTCTTCACCTTATTGTTGAATTAATTTTAGTAAAACTTAGCTGGATCTATCCATTTCTCCCCTCTTTTCTGTTATGGACATGGTCTTATTAACCCAACAGTCGAATGGCACAATTACTGCTTTAATAAAAGAAGAGTATATACACAGTCCATAGTTTCCTGGCATATTCTCATGTTCTTTGCCTTCTGAGGTTCCAGGTGTTGTTTGCTTGCATTGTAAAGACACCGGTGTTTGTGAGGTAGTTTAGCTGGGTATAGGACCATCCCTGGAAGGTTCTAGTTTATTCTTGGACTGAGGTCCATGTAACTACATCGGTCAGTTTTGCAGAACTTTCTACTGTGGCAATGCCCTTCCTCCAGTTTCTACTACACAGCTCTCACTTCCTTCTGTACCTATACTGCCAGCAGCTGCAGCAGCCATGTCTTTACCAAAGGTCTATTTAAGGAACCATAAGCCTTCTCTGTCAGGCTTCTCCCAATCTGCTCCACCCTGCCATGCTGTAAGTCTATGTTATAGCAGTATCTCTCTTCCAGATGTTGGTTGGTATTTCCTGTTGCAGCTGAGAAGTTATCAGGTGAAATCGACGCTCCCCTACTTTCTTACAGTTCGGAGTAGGTCATGGGGCAGGCTGTGCTCAGCTTTACTTGTTTCTCAGCTCTGGATCCAAATGAATCAACGTGTGGTTGGGTGCTGTCTCCTCTAAGCTTTGGGTTTTGCTTCCCAGCTCATTGATAGTGGAAAACACTGCCTGTGGCTGTGGGACTGAAGAGGTCACTGCCAAGGTCATGCTGTTGGTTTTGAAGAAGTAAGCTGCCATGTTGTGGTGTGGTGTGACAAGGACCCAGGACGGCCACTAGGAGGCAGGTTGAGGGTCTAGGAGCAGAGACCCATCAGTGGTTTTCTTCCGTCGGTAGGAACATAGACCCTGTATGTACAGTGGGATTGGGGTACCAGGGATGACTCCCTCTGTTACCCCTACTGACCTAGGAGATTCCATTTTGAAGGCTGACTAAAAATTCCTAACCAGTAAAATTTCCTAACATAACAAGCACCATGTTGCTCAAGAAGGGACTTGTTATACTTATAAGATTAACTATTGTGTTTATATTTTATATATAATTATATATTACTCATATATAAATATAAAAATATAAATTATCTGTATTTGTAATTAAAGTGTGTCTTTATGGACTGAGTATCTGCTCAGCTGAAGTGTCCTGACCTAGCAGATTCCTTTCCCTTCCTGTTAGATCAGCTTTTCACACATTCCCATGCAAGGAAGGAATCCCCTTGCTCTTGGAGAACAGGCACATTGGCCTCAGCAGATCTAGGGCGAGGCGTGAGGGCCACACCTTACTAAGTCTTAGGGTGTGGCCTAAGCAACCCCATTAGGTTGTAGGTTTCTTCTACTTCCTGTTTACTTCTTCTGTTCCTTTTCTTCATCTCCCCCCCATCCTTTCCTTTGTTCTTGCTCTCTCTCTCTCTCCCTCCCCTCTCTCTCCCTCTCTCTCTCCCCCTCAAGGGTACCCAAGACAGTCTTCCATGTACCCCAGGCTGCCTCAGTCTCTCAGTGCTGAGTTCACAGGGATGTGCCACTGTCTGCTGTGTGGGCTGCATATGCAGCAGCAAAGACCTTAAGGGAGCCAGAAAAGGCGCAGAGCCCGGGTGAGATCCTGCATGAAACAAAGAAAGGCAAAAGGCAGAGGGAGGCCAGCCCCCACAGGCGTGCCTTCCTCGTGTGACACACTAGGTGGTGGTGTCAGCTTGGAAATGGGACAGTGGTAGACAAGTCAGTTGGTTTTTAAAATCCTGCAAATCTAAGATCCACAAGATGAATGGATATCTGGGAGATACCCAGAGGCAAGACAGGGCCAAGTATGGTTGATGGAGAAAATGGAGACTCTTGACAGAAGGGTGTGTTTGCAAACTAGAGCCGAATTCTCCTCATCAGTCCTTCATATTTCCTTAATAATGTCGTCTGAATTCGTCTCTGTTGACGTTCTGGAAGTGTCAACAGGGCTATATTAGATTGTATTCAGTTCCAAATCCTGAGAAAAAGTTCTCAGGGCTTTGCCATCTGGCCTGGCACATCACAGCTGCAATATTCATTTGATAAGTGTGGCTGCAAATATTGGCCTGTTTCCTACTGGGCTAGAGAGATGGGTCAGTGGTTAAGAGCTGACTGCTCTTCCAGAGGACCTGAATTTGATCCCCAGAACTCACATGGCAGCTCACAGCCATCTGTAATTCTAGTTCCTGGCTACCCATCTC